TTTGCCTGGTTTTGGTATTAGAGTGATGCTGGCTTCATAGAATGAGTTTGGAAGTATTCCCTCCTCTATTATGTTTTGGAAAACTTTAAGTAGGATGGGTATTCAGTAAATGTTTAATAAAATTCACCAGTGAAACCATCTGTTCCAGGGCTTTTGTTCTTAGGTAGTTTTTTTTTTATTACCAATTCATTTTCCTTGCTTGTAATTGGTCTGTTCAGATTTTCTGTTTCATCCTGGGTCAGTCTTGGAAGGCTGTATTTTTCTAGAAAGTTGTCCATTTCTTCTAGGTTATTCAGTTTGTTAGCGTATGATTTTTCACAGTATTGTCTTATAATTCTTTGTGTTTCTGTGGTGTCCATGGTGATTTTTTCTTTCTCATTCCTAATTCTGTTTATGTGTGTAGATTCTTTTTTTCTTGATAAGTCTGGCTATGGGTTTATCTGTTTTGTTTATTTTCCCCAACAACCAGCTCCTGCTTTCATTGATTCTCTTTATTGTTTTATTCTTCTCAATTTTATTTATTTATGTTCCTCTTTCTTATGTTCTTATCTTTATTATGTTCCTCCTTCTACTGACTTTGGGCCTCATTTGTTCTTCTTTTTCTAGTTTCATTATTTGGGAGTTTAGACTGATCATATGGGATTGTTGTTTCCTGAGGTAGTCCTGTATTGCAATACACTTCTCTCTTAGCACAACCTTTGCTGCCTCCCACAAATTTTGTGGTGTTGAATTATTGTTGTCATTTGTCTCTATATATTACTTGATCTTTGTTTTTATTTGGTCATTGATCCATTGAATATTTAGGACCATGTTACTAAACCTCCATGTGTTTGTGAGCTTTTTCATTTTCTTCGTGTCATTTATTTCTAGTTTCATCCATCCCTTTGTGATCTGAGAAGCTGGTTGGTACAATTTCTATCTTTTTGAATTTACTGAGGCTCTTTTTGTGGCCTAGTATGTTATCTATTCTTGAAAATGTTCAATGCGCACTTGAGAAGAATGTGTATTCTGCTGCTTTTGGATGGAGTGTTCTGTAGATGTGCATTAAGTTAATCTGTTCTAATACATTGTTCAGTGCCTCTCTCTCCTTACTTATTTTCTGTCTGGTTGATCTGTCCTTTGGAGTGAGTAGTGTGTTGAAAGCTCCTAAAATGAATGCATTGCATTCTATTTATCCCTTTAATTCTGTTAGTGTTTATTTCACATATGTAGGTGATCCTGTGTTGTGTGCGTAGATATTTATAATAGTTATGTCCTCTTGTTGGACTGATCCCTTTATCATTATGTAATGTCCTTCTTTGTCTCTTGTTACTTTCTTTGTTTTGAAGTCTATTTTGTCTGATATATGTACTGCAACTCCTGCTTTTTTCTCCCTGTAAGTTGAATGAAATATCTTTTTCCATCCCTTTACTGTCTGTCTGTGTGTATCTTTAGGTTTGAAATGAGTCTCTTGTAGGCAGCATATAGACGGGTCTTGTTTTTTAATCCATTCAGTGACTCTTTTGTCTTTTGATTGGTGCATTTAGACCATTTACATTTAGGGTGATTATCAATAGGTATGTACTTATTGCCATTGCAGGCCTCAGATTCGTGATTAGCAAAGGTTAAGGGTAATTCCCTTACTATCTATCTAACAGTCTAATTTAACTCACTTCATATGCTATTACAAACACAACCTAAAGGTTCCTTTTTTTTCCCCTCCTTTTTCTTCCTTATTTTTTATATATTAGGTATCATATTCTGTCATCTTTGTCTATCCCTTGACTTACTTTGGGGGTAGTTGATTTAATTTTGCATTTGTTTACTAATTAACTGTTCTACTTTCTTACTGTGGTTTTATTTCCTCTGGTGACAGCTATTAAACCTTAGGAACAGTTCCATCTATAGCAGTCCCTCCAGAATAGACTGCAGAGACTGTTTGTGGAAGGTAAATTCTCTCAGCTTTTGCTTATCTGGAAATTCTTTATCCCTCCTTCAAATTTAAATGATAATCTTGCCAGATAAAGTATTCTTGGTTTAAGGCCCTTCTGCTTCATTCCATTAAATATGT